CCACACAGTGAGGTTTCGTGTGTGCTGGAGCCAGCAGAACAGCACAAACTACAGCTTACTGGGAAAATCTAGGGTATCGCAGAACCTCTCAAACACAGAATCATAGAACCGTTGAGGTTGGAAAAGACCTTTAAGATCATCGAGTCCAACCGTTAACCTAACCCTGCCATCCCACCACTAAACCCACTCCCTAAGCACCTCATCTGCCCTTCTTTTAAATACCTCCAGGGATGGCGACTCAACCACCTCCCTGGGCAGCCCATTCCAGAGCCTGACAACCCTTTCTGGGAAGACATTTTTCCTAATGTCCAACCTAAACCTGCCTTGGCACAACTTCAGACCATTTCCCCTCATCCCATTGCCCATTACCAGGGAGAAGAGGCCGACCCCCACCTCGCTCCCCCCTCCTGTCAGGCAGCTGTAGGGAGAGATGAAGGCTCCCCTCAGCCTCCTCTGCTCCAGGCTGAACACCCCCAGCTCCCTCAGCCCCTCCTCATAAGCCTTGTGCTCTAGACCCCTCACCAGCTTGGTTGCTCTCCTCTGGACATGTTCCAGCAACACAACAACTTCCCTGTAGTGAGGGGCCCAAAACTGACCCCAGCATTCGAGGGGTGGCCTCACCAGCACCGAGTACAGGGGCACGGTCACTGCCTTGCTCCTGCTGGCCACACTATTCCTGATACAAGCCAGGATGCCATTGGCCTTCTTGGCCACCTGGGCACCCTGCTGGCTCACATTCAGCCTCCTGTCAACCAGCACCCCCAGGTCCTTTTCCACCAGGCAGCTTTCCAGCCGCTCTGCCCCACGCCTGTAGCGCTGCGTGGGGTTGTTGTGACCCCAGGGCAGGACCCGGCCCTTGGCCTTGTTGAACCTCATACAGTTGGCCTCGGCCCATGGATCCAGGCTCTCCAGGTCCCTCTGCAGAGGCCTCCTCCCCTCAAGCAGATGGACACTCCCACCCAGTTTGGTGTCATCTGCAAACTTACTGAGGGCGCACTCAATCCCCTTGTCCAGGTCGTTGATAAACAAAGTCTTGCAGGAAAGTGCTGTGAGGTTGCAAATACAGCAAGATGAGCAAGAAAGGTGAAATACAATCCATCGGATCAACTTGCTGCTGTTCTAAAACATTTCCTTAGTGCACTTTTTTCATCCTGTAGAGGAGTACTAATGAAAAGAAGGGCTATTAGAGATCAAGCTCAAACTGGCCAGGGGCCGAGCGTCAGTGACTGGCTAAGTCACACACCTCTTTCCCAAGTGAGCAGCATACACAAATGTGTCTGGCACATCTTCCAAAAGGGAAACCGAACATCTTATTTTCTCATGGTAGTTCTGCAGTAGACATCTAGCATCCATTCCTACGGATAACATGCCAGTGCTGCTTTAACTCACGCCGGTCCAGAACAGACCATGACAGCCTCCTCCACGGCATGGCTCAGAACTGTGGACAAACACATAGGATTTTTTTTTTTCCCCATCACATCCTAAATTGGCCTGCTCAGATATTTCTAAATACAGCAGCCTCAGGAGGAGTGTGTTTGTGATCGCTAACAAGGAAACTTAAAAAGAATAAAAAGAAAAAGTGCAAAAAGAAAAAAAAATATGAGGAGGGGGGAGACTTAAAATGAGAATATTTACACCTGTTTTAATCTAAGAAAATGTGGAATCCATTGCTAGGAGCACAGAAATTTCACTCTTTGTGCTAATGATTAAAACAGGGTTGCACAACACATAGGAATCGCCATATCTACAGATGTCACAATCCACATCACGTACGGAATATTTTCTGTTTGCAAGACCAAGAGAACCACCCTTTTCCCTCTATTTTTGCAAAAATAAGAGAACCACAAAAAGCAAGTATAATAAGCAAAAGAAAAAACTTGAGGGAATAAAAAGCCCTTCCTTTGGCTTCTCTTATTTTCCTCAACTTTGATGCCAAACCAAACAGTATTGCTGGCTTTGCTGGCTTACGGTGAAGTGAGGGAGCCCAAAGAGACCACTTAAACCCACGAAACGCATTGCACAACTACGGTCCCAGCTATAAAAGGTGGCATCTGGAAAGTTCCCTGTCCTGCAGGCTGAAAGGTAAGGGGGGACAGGACCTCTCTGCCAGTCATTAAGCCCAGCACTGAGCTCCTGCCAAACACCGAAGCTACATTCCCAGAGCTAGCAGACGGTCTTGCTTCCCCTCTTCCGGAGGGAAAAACCTTTAGAGAGCGCAGTCACTCATCAATATTTATTTATCTAAAAATCCTGCATACGCTACTCCCCCAAACAACATGAAAACTCAAGCGACTTCACAGGCCATGATGAAGGGAAAAATTTTGGTGTCGCTTTTCTTAGGTATCAGTACAGAAAGAGACTGTTGTACCAGTCAAAACACTACTTCAGCAAAACAGTTTATACCGTAAGAAGAAAATATTTCATTATTACTTTAAAGAGAAAAAGCTTTTTTTGGGTCTTTACTCTCACATTCACATATCAAACATGGTTTGATAATTGTTTTTATGAATTTATTTCAATTAGCTAGTTATTCCCCTCATCTTTCTTTGAAGCGAATTCAAACTCCCTGGAGAACTCCCTTTTCAAATTAAAATACTCAGAGCTAATTATTTAGCACCTTTAATTTTCAAACTGTTCTTCCGACATCTTTGCGAAACATGAATGATGACTTCGTACTCAGAACATACCACAGCCAGGTCAAGGGACCTATAGCCACCTGGAGCTTAACAAGTCATTAAAAAGAAACATTTGTCTCAGCACAAGAGGGACATGGACCTGTTGGAGCGGGGCCAGAGGAGGGCTACTAAAATGATCCAAGGGCTGGAGCCCCTCTCCTAGGAGGCCAGGCTGGGAGAGTTGGGCTTGTTCAGCCTGGAGAAGAGAAGGCTGCGGGCATTGCTGAGTGTGCCCGTTCAGGGCTTAAAGGGGGCCCATAGGAAAGATGGGGAAAATCTTTTTAGTAGGGCCAGCTGTGACAGGACAAAGGGTGATGGTTTTAAACTGAAGCAGGGTAGGTTTAGACTGGATCGAAGGAAGAAATTCTTTACCATGAGGGCAGTGAAACCCTGGCAGGGGTTGCCCGGAGAGGTGGTGGAGGCCCCATCCCTGGGAACATTCCAGGCCAGGTTGGACGGGGCTGTGAGCAACCTGATCTGGTTCAAGGTGTCCCTGCTCCCTGCAGGGGGGTTGGGCTGGGTGACCTCTAGGGGTCATAGAATCATAGAATCATAGAATGTTTAGGGTTGGAAGGGACCACTAGTGGTCATCTAGTCCAACCCCCCTGCAGTGAGCAGGGATTCCCTTGGGTCCCTTCCAACCCAAACCGTTCCATGATTCTATGATTTGCCAGGCTGACAAATCTAATGATCCAGTGATAACAGAGTAGGAATTTCTTAATTTGCCTGATCTCAGGTCACATCTCATGCTGTCATTCCAAACCTTTGTGTTAATTAGAACCTACTATGGCAACTTCAGATTGGTGTTCAAAATTCAATTTTTCATTTTTAGAAGCACAAGTGGCCAGTGACCATATGCACTTCTTAAAACAACTATTTTATTTAGAAACTAAGCATTGAGGGTGGTGAGGAATGCAACAGGATCTCAAGCAACTGAGACTTCTTCACATCTGGCTGTATCCATATTCTCTATTGACATCCTCAGCTGCCTCACATTAAATCGATACACGAGTACAGGTAAGCCCGCTACTACATACAGGTCTTCAGCAACTTCACGAACACATCCACAGCAAACGTATAAAATGGCTGTTGATCAGTATTCCTAGATTACACAAAAGCCACGTGCCCTTCCACATCACGGTATTATCAAGCTCTATCAATTTGCTGAATCTCCTCTCATTTGAATGCTGTTGTGAATAATTCACGGAAACCTCAGAAGCCCAAAAAACCTTGCCCCAAACCTTCATTCTAACTCTTTCAGTTATTTCATTTATCACCTTCTGCTCTGACGGAACTACTTTGGGACTCAGTTCTCTGCAGCGATATCTTAAGACTTGTTTCCCTTCCGTGGCAGCACAATTATTCTTTTAGATTAAGGTTTAATCATGGGATACTAATGCAAAAGCAATGGGATAAAAGGCAGCTCCTTCTGGAGAATGCCTCTTGAAACACCTCGGGCCTCTCCAGTGCAACTGTCAATGTCCATGGCGCGACCAGTACCAATGCCTGGTTTGACTGTATTCTAAACTTAATGCAGTGAATCTCCAGAGACACTCCACTACCTTACTCCTCGGAGCATGTCGTAACAAGCAAGCGGATAATTTGTCCAACTTTGTCCAGTGTTTCAGCAATAGGTAGACAGGATGAATTTTTTGCATTTTTAAGAAAATTCTTTACAAAGAAAGGGGAATAAGGGAATAACACAGTGTTCTATCAGATGTTCTTTCAGCAATTAAGAAAGACTAAACATTGTCATAAATGTTTATGCAACATTGTGAAGAGGACTTCCCTTCCTCAAAATTAGAGGTAGAACACCTACATCATTTTCAAAGCAGGCAGTACGTTAAAAATTACTTCTTGTCCGTGCATCTGGACACCACATAACCATTAAGGTCCTGAAATATGGCTTTCTAGGGCCCTCAAATCCACCTTCTCATGTACATAAGCCTTGCATCAAGTCTTTCACATGCAGCAATTCGAAGTACTAGGTCCAAGCACCACAGACAAGTCAAAACATCTTTTAAAGAGGCTGTATGTGAGTGTCTCAATTTGTTGCAAAAGCCTCAGGTAAAACCTGAGATTTCAAGCAATTAAATTACACTTGTAGCAATGTAGACATAACAAACATAACATTTCTTGCAAAAGTTTTCTGAACCACATGAATGTGCTGCCTTTCTTCTCAAATATGTCTTGTTAAGCAAATTTCATGTTAACGTTAATGAAACAACACATTCCTCAAAAAAATGGATAAATGTATCCAAGACATAAAGCAGCACATGAGAACATCACTTGTTTTCTAAGAATGCACCCAAGTATAGCTCTTACCTCAATTTTATCTGTTTTTGCATCTCCCCAGTAGAGCTTGTCTTTTTCCAGGTCCAGTGCCAAGCCATTAGGCCAACCTAGGGACGTATTCACCAGTACTCGCCTTTCTGAGCCATCCAAATAAGCACATTCTATCTTCGGGCTTTCACCCCAGTCCGTCCAATACATGTAGCTATAAAAAAAAAAATAGGGGAAACCGTCAATGCATGTTAACACGCAAGACAAGACAAGTGTCAAGATCTGTCCTGCTTTTGAAAGAGCTTACTCACTTTCTGTTTCCCCAGCTGCAGCAAACAAGCCAACTTGAATGGTAATCAGCTATGACAATTATAAAGTTTGAGCATTAAATAAATCCAACCACTGAAAATATGCAGTGGCCCAATTCTTTCATAGTTCTGATAACACCAAAGACTCAGACCAAAGAAAATTCAACCAAACACACAATGTATAGGTTCCTTGAAGAACACTGTATTTAGAAATCACCTTTTATATAGCCAGTATTAAAGGGTTATTTCCAGAACATTTGACAAATACGACACACATCATCTGGCAATTTGCAGATTTTCAGTTTCAGAAGACCATAAAGGAGATCCAAAGAGCTATCACATGGCTATCAATAAACACCAAACTTACCCCATTACAGGATGGAGCACTATTGCTCGAGGTTCATCTAGGTTTTCTGAGATAAGGATCTTTCTTGATGTCCCATTCAGCCGGGTCACTTCAATACGGTCTGTTCCAGTATCAGTCCAGTACAGGTTCCTTGCCACCCAATCCACAGCAATACCATCCGGATGGTTGATTTCCGTGGTTACCAGAGTCTGTGCTCCAGAGCCATCAAGGTAGGCCCGACGAATTGCCCGGACATCATCATCAGTCCAGTAGATGTAGCCTTCCACAGGATCATAGTCTATGGCAATTGCATGTCTGATATTGTCTATCTGCAGAATAATGTCCGTGAAATCCGGCATGTCCAGGGAGATCCTCCTCAAGTCAGTCCTTCTAGCGAGCAGCAAGACTTCTTCAGCACCTGGGGAGGAAACCATATCATTTCCTTTGCTACTGATGTGAACACTTCAATACAGCACAGCAGGCTGTGAACGGCCACTGTAACTACAGGAAGAGATTTCCTTAAAATAAGGACATCAAACTTTCATTGAAATATAGACTTGTCTGAGCAGGGAGTTATTCCCAACCAGTTCCAGTTCTTCTCAACCAGCTACTTGTGCTGGCACTCTTATTTCACAATGACAGCATCTTTCTTCCGGCCTCCTAAACTAATATGGAACATAGCAATCTCTGTCTAGAATCTATAAAAAAAAAAAAAAAAAAAAAAAAAAAAAAATTT